TGTAGTTTTTGGCCAGGTAGCGCATGAGACATCATGTTTCCAATACCAGACCGATATTATCGGCCGATATTAGACATTTTCCAAAATATCGGTATTATAATGGGCGATAAATGAATATTTCAAAAATAAAATAAAAACGGACAAAACACGCTTTAATCATCTCTCCTTGGCCTGTTAAATTGAAAATGTATGTTTTTTTGCAGTATGAAGTTATCTCTGGCTAAATTATGGCTCATCATAGACTAGCTAACCTGACATTGTAATTATAAGGTAGCTTATAAGGCAATGTTCGGACTAATTATTATTTTATTTATCAGAACTTTAATATATTTTGATGTTCCTCTGTTCTGTTGTGTCAAAAGAAACAAGTTCCTTTTTAAAATGCTTTATCATATTATTTTAGTTAAAACTCAAATAACTATGTAGGGAAATCTGTTAATGTTTTGTTGCGCGTTTCTGAGGAAAAAAAAAACATATATATATATATTGGAATATCGGAATATTAGCCGATATATCGGAATATCGGATTTTAAAACCAAAAAAATATTTTTTATCGGTATCGGCCTTCAAAATCCTTTATCGGTCGGGCTCTAGTCAATAATATCTATAAGATTCATGACATGGTCAATCTGTACTCACGATTAAGCTATTAAACGGCTACTAGATTTGATAGAAATTCGGCTGATAGAATTTAATTGCAAAATTGCTTGGTGTTTATAGGAACTAGCCACCAAAAATGGTTCTGCTTTGGCATTTTGCATCCTTTTATTTTCTAAAAGAGTGAACATCTGATAAGAGCGAAGCAGTGTGTGTCCAAGACGTCTTTTGGAGACATCTGTCTGTGACATCACTCAGCTTATGGAATTCCTGTAATTCCAGAGGATTAAGAATGTTCGACGATGGAAGCTTTATTTAAATATTTGAAACATTGACAACGTGACAGTGCAATTCCTTTTAGAACGATGCAGTTTTAATATGCAGAGACAAAATAATCATCCATTTGTATGTTGAATCCCTGAGACGTGACTGAAATGTGTTTGAGGACTTTTGCCTTTTGTGACCCCAGCATCTGTTTGTCTGACCAATGGAAGACTAGTGTTTGAAAACAACATAATTTGTGCAATACTTTTAGTAACGATACCCTCATTTCACGATTCGACACATTTCACGATACTGAACTCAAGATACTTTATTATTGCGATACTTTTAAGACATATGATAAAAGGTTAAGACGTTACTAAAAATGTAGTGTTGATTTTAATGGACGGTAGAGACACCAGAATAACAATATTCGTGATTCTGAAGCTGAAAATACTGAATTATTTCAGACGAATATGCTTGCTGTCACTGACAAGATATATTTAATATAATGTAGGACACTTTTACTGGTTACAAAAGACACTTGGCATTACCAGGACACGCACAAAGTCCACATAAATCATTATATATAGTAGTTTAATGTAGTACTGACACTAAGACTCTGTAAATTTAAGTAATTTTAATGTTGGGTGAATTATACACAATACATACTGTCACTATCGATGAAACATTGATGCATTTTTGTATTGCGATATATTGTGACGCAGCCCCTACTCTTTAGGTGATGATGTAAGCAGTGTTCGTTTTAAGATCTGTTAACATCAGATGTGAGTTAAGCAAGTGAAAATATTCTGTGTGCAAGAAAACACACACACACACACACACTCCAGATATTGTTTGTATTCCTGAGTGATTCTGTGGATGTGATTGCAGAGGCTGATATAAATCAATAGGTCAGAGGTGTGTGTTGTCTTTAGTAATTGTGTGTGTGCTGTAATGCTGCTAGCACCACAGTCCAGTAATTCAGAACAAAGACGAAGGTCCTTTCTATCTCGTTTCTCATTTTCTCGTTTGTGACCGTCATTAATGTCCAATTTTTTCTCTGTGTTTTTGTTATATTGGATATTGCTTCTCTGCAGGAGCAATAAATAAATAAATAAATCTTTCTTTAGAGGATAAAACAAAACCAACCAGATTCTTTACAGGTTCTAAACTAAATATTAGTGATTTTTCCCATGCAAACATCTACATAATTTTAGGCATTTGTACATACAAACTCTTCTGATATTTAAATATGGCTATAATTCATCGGTCAATATGCATTTTAATTTAGCCCGTCTGCCATTTTTGTTCAGTCAAATTATATAATTGTTTATCAAATGTGGTTTATAATTTTATAAAACTGTAAAAATTCTATAAAACTCTATTTTCTGAATTTTCTGAAACAATATCAACTGCTGATACCAATATTGTTTTAAACAAAATACCTCGGTTTTGTGCATGTATCATGTAAATTCACAGAACAATTCAACATGCGTTGAATGTGGTTCTATATAGACTCTATAGAATTTTTAACACTTTATACCAAAAAGGTTCTATATAAGGAGAAATGTCTTAAACAATTGGTTACGTTCATGTTTATTGTGTTATTTAAAATTGTTCTAGTGATAGGGCGTGTTTACAAACTGTTTAATTAATAAAAAACTAAATTAATTAAAGGAGTAGTTCACTTAAAAAAAAAAACTTTTGCTGATAATTTACTCACCCCCATGTCATCCAAGATGTCCATGTCTTTCTTTCTTCAGTCGAAAAGAAATTAAGGTTTTTGATGGAAAACGTTCCAGGATTTTTCTCCATATAATGGACTTCAATGGGGACCAAACGGTTCAAGGTCCAAAAGAGAGTTTCAGTGCAGCTTCAAAGGGCTTTAAACGACACCAGATGATGAATAAGGGTCTTATCAAGCGAAACGAGCGGCCATTTCAAAAATAAATAACAAATTAAGTTTTATAAGCTCAAATGCTCGCCTTGCTCTGTTCTGTGATACGCGTTCGTGACTCTCCTGTTCGAACTCATTCATCAAAATGAACAAATCTTTTTTCGAGTCATGACTCGAAGGGTCCTTGATAAGACCTTTATTCATCGTCTGGTGTCGTTTAAAGCCCTTTGAAGCTGCACTGAAACTCTCATTTGGTCCCCATTGAAGTCCATTATATGGAGAAAATCCTGGAATGTTTTCATCAAAAACCTTCATTTCTTTTCGACTGAAGAAAGAAAGACGTGGACATCTTGGATGACATGGGGGTGAGTAAATTATCAGCAAAAGTGAACTACTCCTTTAATGAAAACCAAAATGATCTCATGATGGAAGGTTCCATTTATGAAGTGCCTGAAGATTCCAAATAGAACCTTTTCTTGGAAGATTGTATTCCATTCAAGTCACTATAAAGGTCATGTTTCAATTCTTCACTGTCTGTGTTTCTCGGAGCTGTAAAATAACAGCAGATGAATGGCGACGCTTGAGCAAAGAACAGGGTCATTTTCTGCCCATCTCGTCTCGCTTGAGTATTTACACCTTCTCTCTTTATCACAGCGAATCAATACACCTGACCGCAATACACACTTGCTGTGGGCAGTTAACATGAACCACTGTTACAGTCTAGATCTAATCAATAGCTGTTACTGATTTAAATAGATCGTTAAACAGGTAGACACGTGTCTCGGATGTGTTGTTGAGCCTCTGGAGGAGAATGGTCTTTTCTTTTCTGCTTGAGCTTTTCTACACACACCTACATTGGCAACAGAATCACATTTGGCTAGTACATTTTATTGGTTACTCACCAGATGGATATAGTATTATACACTATATATAATTCCACCAAATCAGCTTATCTTTGTCAAATTGCACAGCTTTTTAAATATCTAAATGTAAAATCAGTCAATGAATCATTATATTATGATATCATGATAATTAAAGCATTATTTAATGATATAACTTTAGTAATTGGAACTAAAACTTGACAATCATGTCATTCAGTGTTTCTGTAAAAAATACAAAATGATTCACTGACTCACTTGTATTGATTTGTTCCTGAATCATTTGGTTTAGTTGAATAAATCGTTAGAATGAATAATTCATTGACTCACTTATAATGATACTCACTTGTTTCGTTCTTGAATGAATCAGTGTGTTTGAATGAATGATTCACTGACTGACTTGTTTTGTTCCTGAATAAATCAGTGCGTTAGAATGAAGCAATTGAGTGATTCAGAGACTCATAAAGATTGTAGCTTATCTCATTCCTTAATGAATAAGCATTTTTGAATGAATCATTATAATGCATGAATCAATGAATCGCTCATAAAGACAGTAGATTATCTCGTTCCTTAATGAATTAGCATTTTTCAATGAATCATTTGAATTTATGAATCAATGAATCACTCATAAAGACAGTGGCTTATCTCGTTCCTTAATGAATTAGCATTTTTGAATGAATCATTTGAATTCATGAATCAATTAATCACTCATAAAGACAGTAAAGCTTATCTCATTCCTTAATGAATTAGCATTTTTCAATGAATCATTTGAATGCATGAATCAATGAATCACTCATAAAGACAGTGGCTTATCTCGACTCATTCCTTAATGAATTTGCATTTTCAATGAATCATTTGAATGCATGAATCAATGAATCACTCATAAAGACGGCAACTTATCTCATTCCTCAATGAATTTGCATTTTCAATCAATCATTTGAATGAATGAATCAATGAATCACTCATAAAGACAGTAGCTTATCTCGACTCATTCCTTAATGAATTTGCATTTTCAATGAATCATTTGAATGCATGAAAAAATGAATCACTCATAACGGCTTGTCACCACTTACAACAATGTAATCTGCAGAAAGAGTCAACAAAAAAAAATTATCACTAATTTACTGACCGACTAACTTTCTTTTATGAATATTTCTTTCAGTTTTACATCATATGAGTTTTCTTATAGTGTTCTTCCAAACCTGTGCTTGAGAGAACAATACTGTAAACACCCGTGTGTGTGTGTGAGTGTGTGTTTGGGTGGTGCCAGAAGCTTATATCCGGATAACCTCTCGATTTATGCAGAGACAGATTCATACCTCTCGTTTCTCTCTCCTCCATATGGAAATCTCGAACAGCAGAAGCTCATCTGTCCTGTCAGATCTGTCGCTCCTCTTCAATCTGTTCCTTCTGTCACAGGAAGAACGGATGGTGGGGATGCGGGAACCGGATGGCTCGTTTCTTACGGAAGACGTTTGGAGATTGCAGCTGAGGCTTTATGTCTGCTTGATAAAATATCTGAAATTAGTTTCAACTCGAAAGAGAAAGAATAGCCAGAGTGATTCTGCTTATAGCCACCAGTGTGACTGGACTATTTTATAACATAGACTTTATTTTAGATTTCTTCCACAAAAAATGGGCAGTAATTAAACAGACGGAGGATTCGTTATCCTTATATAAGTGTGAATGGGTTGAATGAATTAATCATTGACTCACTTATTGTGAATGATTCATTATGAGTCACTCATAATGATTGTTACTTATTTAGTTTCTAAATAAATCAGTGTGTTTCAGCAAATTGTTTGAACGAATGATTCACTGACTCACTCGTAATGATGGTCATTTGTTTCGTTCCTGAATCATTTGGTGTATTTGAATAAATCGTTCGAATTAATGATTCATTGACTCACTTATAATGTTCCTGAATGAATCTATCCGTTTGAACGAATTGGTTTAATGAATGATTCACTGACTCACTTGTTTTGTTCCTGAATGAATCAGTGTGTTAGAATGAAGCATTCGAGTGATTCAGACTCACTCATAAATACAGTGGCTTATCTCGTTCCTTAATGAATTAGCATTTTTGAATGGATCATTTGAATTCATGAATCAATTAATCACTCATAAATACTGTAGCTTATCTCGTTCCTTAATGAATTAGCATTTTTGAATGAATCATTTGAATGCATGAATCAATGAATCACTCATAAAGACAGTAGCTTATCTCGTTCCTTAATGAATTAGCATTTTTTAATGAATCATTTGAATGCATGAATCAATGAATCACTCATAAAGACAGTGGCTTATCTCGTTCCTTAATGAATTAGCATTTTGAATGAATCATTATAATGCATGAATCAATGAATCACTCATAAAGACAGTAGCTTATCTCGTTCCTTAATGAATTAGCATTTTTCAGTGAATCATTTGAATGCATGAATCAATGAATCACTCATAAAGACAATAGCTTATCTCGTTCCTTAATGAATTAGCATTTTTGAATGAAACATTTGAATGCATGAATCACTAATAAAAATGGTCACTTGTCACCACTTACAAACAATGAAACCTGCAGAAAGAGTCACTGACCTACTTACTAACTATTTACTATATATTTTCTTTCACTTTTTACGTAAGACTCAGAAAAAATGAACGTTTTCGTCGATATAAACTATTAGATGTGTTTACTGCAAATAAAGCTTTAAACACAGTGAAAGCACAGGAGAGGTCTGGAATGATGTGTGTGTGTGTGTGTGTGTGTGTGTGTGTGTTTCAGTTGTAGGCATCTCAAACAAAACGTTTTTACCAGATAATTCTCTCATGTTTCTTCGTCTGAATCGCACACATTAGCGTAAAGCGTCTCACGAGGGCCGCTTGAATCAAACGCACAACACTTCTTTGTCACGTTGACATTCCAGCTCCACAATTGAACCAAAATTGACCCGTAGCAGAGATCATTAAGAAGATAATGAAAGGACTAATGACACACACACACACACACACACACACACACAGAGAGAGCAGATATTAGTGTCACTGATCGCTGTGTGTCCCATTAGTGTGATCCTGTACAGAAAGGCTTTTTTAAGTAGATTCAGGCTATTGGAGAGGCTTTAGTGGACACGTGTGTGTGTGTGTGTGTGTGTGTGTAAGATAAGGATAATAGTTTGTCAAACAGTGAAATGCTCCTCTGTGTATTCAGGCCAAATCTTCTGCTAAAACAGGCTCAGCTGAGCAGATTAGTGGGCAATGATTTTATAGATTATAGATAATTTCTGGATTTGATATATATTAGACAGCACTCACAATGATCTACCGCTTCTTCTCAGTCTCTATTCATCCGTCTTTATATCATCCTATACACATTATACTAGTAAACACTACATCTAACCACGTACTAATGACTTAAGACAATTATTTGATTAAAATACAGCAAAATCTTTAATATTGTAAAATATATTTACAATTTAAAATAGCTTTTTTTAATGAAAGCTTGTTTCCGCTACTTAATGAAAAATAAAAAAGGTAATTGGGATTTTTATCTCGCAATTCTGACTTTATTTCTCAGAATTGCGAGATATAAAGTCGAAATTGCATGTTGTAAAGTCAGAATTGTGAGATATAAACTATTCTGAGGGGGAAAACTTAGTCTTTTTTTCCCCTTAGAATTGGCCTGATAACTTGCAATTGCAAGTTTATATCTCACAATTCTGAGAAAATAGGCCTATGTCAGAATTGTGAGATGTAAACTCGCAATTGTGAGAAAAAAAGTCAGAATTGTGAGATAGTCATAATTGCAACTGACTTTATTTCTCACAATTGCGACTTTATATCTTGCAATTCTGACTTTATTTTTCATAATTGTGACTTTATTTCTCAGAATTGTGACTTTATATCTCGCAATTGCGACTTTTATTTCTCAGAATTGCGACTTTGTATCTTGCAATTCCGACTTTATATCGCGCAATTGAGACTTTATTTCTCAAAATTGCGACTTTATTTCTCACAATTCTGACTTCATATCTCGCAATTGATAGAGAAAAAGTCGCAATTATTATTATTATTTTTTATTCAGTGGCGGAAACAAGCTTCCATATTTTTTCTATTTGAAAACATTGTAAAATGTAATTTATTTCCTGTGATCAAAGCTGAATTTTCAGCATCATTACATCATTAATCATTACAGTCTTCAGTGTCACATGATCCTTCAGAAGGGTATATATATATACACAGGTAAAACTCGAAAAAGTATATCGTGGAAAAGTTAATTTATTTAAGTAATTTAACTTAAAATATGAAACTAATATATTATATTCACTCTTAGAAGAAATGGTTCTATTTAGAACCAGAAATGGTTCCATCCCCCGCTTCATGGAACTCCAAAATGGTTCTATATCCATTTTTTTTTTTGGTAAAAGGTTCTATTGGCCAAGTACGGAACCCCAGGGTTCTATATAGAACCCAGAGGAACCCTTTTTTAAGAGTGTATAGAACCTTTTAGGGGTTCCAAATACGCAGCGCTGATAGAACCTTTTAAGGTTCTATATAGAACCTTTTCTTCTAAGAGTGTAGACTCATTACATCCAAAGTGAGATATTTCAAGACTTTGTTATAATGTTAAAGATTATAATATATTAGTTTCACCTTTTGAAGTTGAATTACTGAAATAAACTTTTGCACGATATTCTAATTTTTCCAGTTTCACCTGTATATATATATATATATTTCTATAATATACAGCACTAAAGCTGTACGATGCTGTCGTTTATCTCCATCAGTATTCCTCCTCAGACTGTCCATCATACATAATTAATGCCGTTGTTAAACATCATTGACGAACTGTTCTCATTTTCTACAGACAAACCATTAACGTGAAGTATAGCGGATCTCGGTTACGCATTATTTGAAGGTGTCATTGTTACAGTGTAATTATATATTTAAGTGCTGAGTAATACATGTACTTACTATAGGGGAGGGTTAGTTGCATGTAATTATGCATAATTTACTGTTGGTAAGTGCATGTAACATATGTAACAATGACCCAGATGTGCGTTTCACAGGTTCTCGTGTGACTCTTTATTGCGATTCTTGCTGTCAAGAAGTTGTCCAGCGCAGTCCTTCTGAACTTCAGCACTTCAGTGTTTCTCTCTACGGTAAAAACGAGCAGTGACGGATGTATTTTTGGCCTCGCTCTATTCCCAGCTCACGTCCGTCTAGGAATAGCAGGATATTTCCTCGTTTTCACAGCTCCCTTGACTCAACAGTTTTCTCCCTCGCTTTCTCGCGTCCTTTTAAATGTGATCCGCACGCTTGCTAAGGACAAACGCATATGTAAATGTGTCCCTGCGACTGATTCATGCATGTATTAGTCCATTAATGAGCGAGTCTCTTCAACACGCCGGTTAAACAATTAAGTACAACGTCGAACAACGCCAGCCGTTCCCTGAGCTCTGACTTCAAGACATTTACAGCACACGAGCGGAGCGTGAAACCTGATATTACGCTCTCTAAATACGACTCGGAGAAAAGTGTGATAAAAGCCCGACTCCCCTTCAAATGATTACACGGCCTCACTCGATGAAAATGAGCTCAATTATAATTAATCCTGATTTAAATACTGCTGCAGGAATTAATTACACATAAGCATACGGCTGAGTGCTTTGATAGTCTGTGTGTGTAGCGTACAGAGGAAGACTGGAGATAAGCTAATATTGAAACTCATATGGACGTGCAGAAGTGGATTTGAGCTTTCTGTGTTCTTGTGAAACCAAGATTTTCTGTCCAGATAATGTTTTTTTTATCTGTGCACTCCAGACATTAATCTCATGTTTGTTGTTTAGGTGAGTTAGGTTAATACTCTTACAAAGTACAAGTATACTTAATTTTCAAGTTCAAAGTTCAAGTGTACTACTTTATGTAGTATGTATACTAATATCAATGTTCTAGTTAAAAGTGTACTGTTTCAGTACTACTCGGGACTAAATTTGCCCACTTTTTAGTGTATAAGTGTACTTTAGTATGTATACTAATACCAATGTTCTAGTAGTATACTTATAAGTGTACTGTTTCAATTCTACTCGGGACTAAATTGTCCCACTTTTTAGTGTATAAAAGTGTACTTTATGTAGTATGTTTACTAACATCAATGTTCTAGTAGTATACTTAAAAGTGTACTGTTTCAATACCATTTGGGAATAAATTGGCCCACTTTTTAGTGTATAAAAGTATACTTTTAAGTGTACTTTATGTAGTATGTATACTAATATCAATGTTCTAGTAGCATACTTAAGTGTACTGTTTCAGTATTACTCTGGACTAAATTGGCCCACTTTTTACTGTATAAAAGTGTACTTTTAAGTGTACTTTATGTAGTATGTAGACTAATATCAATGTTCTAGTAGTATACTTAAAAGTGTACTGTTTCAGTACTATTTGGGAATAAATTGGCCCACTTTTTAGTGTATAAAAGTGTACTTTTAAGTGTACTTTATGTAGTATGTAG